CTAACAGAGGCATTAAAGAAACAACTGTAAAGGGAGTGTTCAGATATTTAGCTAGAATCATAAATTCTACCGCTTTAATCTGTTCCGCGAAAAAAAATGAAAAAATTTCGCGAAAAATAAAAGGGGAAAATTGGGGGAGAAAAATTCGAAAATTTTGCGAAAAAAATACCGAAGAGAAATTATTATTTATGCTGAGCTCTCAGAACAGAGAATTCAGCAAGTTTTTTTGCGCAATTGATTGTTGCAGCTACAAGTAAAACACTTAAGGTATTCGCGGAATTTCTCGAAAACAATTCTCGCGAAATTTTGCATCATTTTTGCATTAGTTCTATTAATTCTAAAAAGGTTTTCTTTACATATTATGATACCGATCTATTACTACATAATGTAAATTCGCATTAACTTAAACCTAATCTTATTTTTCGTTAGCCGTCCCTTTGGATTCTCCTTTTCAATTCTTAACCCTTGCACTAAATGCATATTGCATATTTCTTTTAATTTATGAGTCTGCCATCTAAAAATATGAATACACATTGCGCAAGCATTTGTAAACTACAGTTGATGCACTAATATCCATATTTCCATCTAACTATAACTCCAACTCCATCTATCCATATCTTTACATATCCATATCCCCATATATGCATAACTTTATCTATCCATTTTTCATCTATCCATATTTATGCAAATACCAATTAACAGCTAACAGACTGTTTAGTTTACCATGAAATTACCCAAATATGTGACTCTAGCAGACAAAACTTCTGGGGATAACAGTTTTGATAATAAGGATCAGCGTACATAATCGAAAAAGTCATTTTCAAAGACGATATCTAAATCAACTCACATGTTTATTGGGACACTCTGTACTATTTATATACATATATATGTTTTCAGGGACCAATTTAAGATTGTGTATCGTGGAATATGGTCAACCTACCACTCTGATGTTATTTATGATAGAGACCAGGGAGACCAGGGAGACCAGGGACAAACTTTAATGAATTTCCTGACTTGCTGAACTGCACCGCCTCTAGTTCAAATTTGAATCACTGAATTAAATCCTTCCTGAGGACAAATTTAAAGAATTTAAACAGCGTCGTTGTACCGCCAAAACAGGTTCCAACTGAACGCCGGCTCAAATCTTGAAACACAAAATATAATTTCAAGTGTTTAAGCCGCGTCTAAAGTTTGAGAAACGCGGCTTAAATTCATAATATCCGGCCTCTGAATCTTTAACTTTAAATCTATGGTTCACATTTGAACCGGCAGTTGATAGTTCAGCTACTTAGCTCAAGTTCATTAAATGTAGTCACAGGGAGACAAGGGAGGCCGTGGAACTGGGGAACCAGATTCTTTCTTTAATCAAATTATCAGGTTTTATGTTTATTGCTTAAAATCACAAATTTTTTTCTGTTGGATTTGATCATAAATAATGCATGTATTATTTAACCAATTAAAGGGATATTTTCTTAAACATTTTCTTGAAAAACAGAATATCCGTAATACAGAAAACAGAATATCCGTAATACAGAAAACAGAATATCCGTAATACAGAAAACAGAATATCCGTAATACAGAAAACAAAATATCCGTAATACAGAAAACAGAAATATCCGTAATACAGAAAACAGAATATCCATAATACAGAAAACAGAAATATCCGTAATACAGAAAACAGAATATCCGTAATACAGAAAACAGAATATCCGTAATACAGAAAACAGAATATCCGTAAAACAGAAAAAAGGATATCCGTAATACAGAAAACGACATTTCTCAACATTGATAATTGAGAATGTGTTAGTTCCCTATTCTTTGTTAGATATTTTCATTGATAAATGGTGTGATAATAGAATACTACTTTATTCATCGTAGGATTGGATACAATAATAAGTATTTATTGTAGGAATGGATAAAATAATAAGTATTTATTGTAGGATTGGATAAAATAATGAGTATTTATTGTAGGATTGGATACAATAATAGGTATTTATTGTAGGATTGGATACAATAATAAGTATTTATTATAGGATTGGATACAATAATGAGTACTTATTGTAGGATTGGATACAATAATATATTTATTTATAGGATTAGATACAATAATAAGTATTTCTTGTAAAATTGAATACAATTATAAGTATTTATTTTAGGATTGGATACAATTATGAGTATTTATTGTAGGATTGGATACAATAATAAGTATTAATTATAGGATTGGATACAATAATAGGTATTTATTATAGGATTGGATACAATAATAAATATTTATTATAGGATTGGATAAAATAATGAGTATTTATTGTAGGAATAGATACAATAATAAGTATTTATTGTAGGATTGGATACAATAATGAGTATTTATTGTAGGATTGGATACAATAATAAGTATTTATTGTAGGATTGGGTACAATAATGAGTACTTATTATAGGATTGGGTACAATAATAAGTATTTATTGAAGTATTGGATACAATAATGAGTTTTTATTGTAGGATTGAATACAATAATAAGTATTTATTGTAGGATTGGATACAATAATAAGTATTTATTGTAGGATTGAATACAATACTAAGTATTCATTGTAGGATTGGATACAATAATAAGTATTTATTCTAGGATTGGATATAATAATGAGTATTTATTATAGGATTCGATACAATAATAAGTATTTATTGTAGGATTGGATACAATAATGAGTATGTATAATATTTTAGGATTGAATACAATAATAAGTATTTATTGTAGGATTGGGTACAATAATAAGTACTTATTGTAGGATTGAATACAATAATAAGTATTTATTGTAGGGTTGGATACAATAATAAGTATTTATTGTAGGATTGGATACAACAATAAGAATTTATTGTAGGATTGGATACAATAATGAGTATTTATTGTAGGATTGGATACAATAATGAGTATTTATTGTAGGATTGAATACAATAATAAGTATTTATTGTAGGATTGGGTACAAAAATAAGTACTTATTGTAGGATTGGATACAATAATAAGTATTTATTGTAGGATTGGATACAATAATAAGTATTTATTGTAGGATTGGTTACAATTATGAGTACTTATTATAGGATTGGGTACAATAACGAGTATCCCTACTTCTTGTATGACAGTGTGTCTGGTGAAGTAAATCTGACCCAGAGGGAGGGGTATTCTCTTCAAGCATTTATAGGTCAGCTTATAACACTGTTAGAAGAAAACTATAATTTTTTCTTTCAAATTTTGAACCAAAAATACGTAATCTCGTGATTTATTTAAACAACGGGGTAGAGAGTTTTGTTGAAGCAGGTAAATCTTGCTGCAATTTTATACTTCTGTCAATTCTAACATGCACAGGGTGTCCCTTACCGCGTTTTGCCATTTATTGTCTGTATATGTACTTACAAATCAGGACAGGGGTTTTCAGTGATTTAAGTTCAACGAAACATGTCAGTTCCATAATTTAATACTAAATAAAAAAATAAAAAAATTACATGGCAGACATATAACGTGAATCCTAGATATATGAATACATAGCAAGAGTTTTTAATAATGTCGTATCAAATGCCGCGGAAAAATATTAATATATCAATTGCGTTCATATTTCAGGGCTATTTTAAAGTCATTTTTCCGCGGCATTTAATCTTAGATGTGTAATACGACATTTAAAAAAACTCTTGCTAGGTATTCATATCTCTGGGATTCACTGAATATAGCAAAAATTGAGTTTACTAAAAATATATCAGAGTAAAAGATTTTTTAATGAAATAAACTGCAAAAAGTTTAATATATCTAAAATAGTACATGGAAGAAAACATTCAAAATTATTTACCAACTATCATGTTTCGTGGGACACCCTGTATCTTCTATTTCTTAGTTTTTCAAAATTTCAAAAATAGAATTTTGTTAGAGGCAAAATTTTGAAAATTCGATCATCCATAAACCTTTTCTGGGGTCACGAGGTCCCACAAAAAAAAACTTGGAACCAAACAGAAGGAAAATTTGGACTTTTACTTTTTCCGAAAATGTCGGTTTCTACGGATGTTTTTTTTTCAGTGCAGCAGCAGTTCCGAAAATATCGATATTAAATTGAATATAATAAAAAATGGATTGCAATTTTGGGTCAAATCATCATATGTAGAATCTGTTGATAAACTTTGACATTTTAGCCAATTATAAGCCATAGTGCGCGAAAGGAAAATTTGCTATTTTTTCAAATAATGGTATTTTGGGTAGACAGACTACAGTAGAAACAGGGTTAAGATTCATATTAAACATTTTTCGTAACATAAGAGAATAGAACAACTGTTTAGTTTGGGTTCTGCATGAATAAAACCCGCATGTAGAGATTACCATACTGTGACACCTTTGCCCAAAATTGAATATAGTACCGTTGAACGAAACTCGAGAGTTTCCTTTTTGGGGTCTAAGCATTTGTGTAAATTTTGATTTAAGAGATTCGAAAAAAATGAGAATATGAAGAAACTAAATAAAAAAATAGACCAATTGATATCCACAGAACCGCCTAACCCCATTCCTGAAACCCGGGTTCCAAAACTAGTTTTTATAACGATACTCTGTCTTAAGTTTTGAAGAGTTCAATTCTCAGTGTACGCCACATACATGACCAATCTATTTACTGTTTTATCTATGGATACATGACCAATCTATATACTGTTTTATCTATGGAAACATGACCAATCTATATACTGTTTTATCTATGGATACATGACCAATCATGTTTTGTTTAAAATGTACACTGTACAGTGTACATCCATCTATTTATTTACAATTCTTATTCGCTTATAATGGGTCAACCAATCAAAACAACCAACTCTGGTTAGGCGGGTCCAAACTACATAGTAAATTGTGATTTTTTATTTGTATTATCTCGTGCTTTGTAGTTTAATAAAAATTTGAAATGAAATGAAACTTTACATTGGTTGTTTATGGAAGCTAAAACTGATTTATAAAAATAATTATATCATTGCTTTTATTAAGGTTGGTTATAAACAGGTTGATATTGGAGTTGCTGGTATAATCTGTACACCTGAACGGTAAACATTGGACTCATAGATTAATAACAATACAGAGAGAACATTAGATGTCGTCTTTTCAAGATTTAAGGGTTTTTCGTTTACAATGACCCTGAGAAGAATACCGTGTTGAATGACAAGTCAGAGAGAGAGCCTGTTCTAACTTCTTTGGGCTTCTGCCTCAGGATTGTTGTGAACGAAAAAACCCTAAATTTTGAAAAGACGACATCTATTGTTCTATCTGTATTGTTATTAATCTAAGATTGGACTATATCTTTTCTAGTTTTAGATACAGTGCATACGATATCAGATTGGATTGTCTCCTTACTTTAACGCTAACATACGCAAAAGTACTTAAAAAACTCGTATTTTCTCATTAATTTTTTATTTCAGCCTTATGGAACTTTTTTTTATGTGAAGATGAGTGAAAGCAAAGCACACCACATCATTTTTTTCGTTCGACCACAAATGATTTCCAAATTCACCTTTTATTCGTTCGAACCACACCACGCCATGTTGGTTATAATGGCTGAAAATATGTTTTTTTATTAAGGACATTTTATGAAGGTAAAATAGATGCACAAAACAATTCATGGACATTTTTTTTTCAAGCAAATCAAAACCAATTGCTTTGTTCCCTGCCAAAAATTATAATTTTTAGTTGTATAGATTCTAAAACTGCCCATCCTAAAATTTGCGGTTTAGGAGTAAAATAAGAAAACAACAGAAAAGTGCGTGGTCCGGACGAACAATAGGTGTGGTCCGGACGAACAATAGGTGGGGTCCGGACGAAAATTAGGCGTGGTCCGGACGAACAATAGGTGTGGTCCGAACGAAAATTAGGTGTGGTCCGAACGAACAATAAGTGTGGTCCGGACGAAAATTAGGTATGGTCCGGACGAAAATTAGGTGTGGTCTGAACGAAAATTATGTGTGGTCCGGACAAAAGTTAGGCGTGGTCCGGACGAACAATAGTTGTGGTCCGGACCAAAATTAGGTATGGTCCGAACGAACAATAAGTGTGGTCCGGACGAAAATTAGGTATGGTCCGGACGAAAATTAGGTGTGGTCCGGACGAAAATTATTTGTGGGCCGGACGAAAGTTAGGCGTGGTCCGGGCGAAAATTAGGTGTGGTCCGGACGAAAGTTAGGCTTGGTCCGGACGAAAGTTAGACATGGTCCGGACGAAAATTAGGCGTGGTCCGGACAAAAGTTTGGTGTGGTCCGGACGAAAATTTGGTGTGGTCCGGACGAAAATTAGGCGTGGTCCGGACGAAAATTTGGTGTAGTCCGGAAGTCCAATAGATGTGACAAATATATTTTCCGTTCTTTGATAAATTGGGATTAAATACAGTTTTATTTTCAAACTAAATTTTAAACAAAGTTCGAGTTGAATAACACACTGCTTAAATTGACATTTTGAGAAGAAGTCCACTACTACAGTAATAACCAGTAAACTCTGTGATAGGAAGACGATTTTTGATTTTATTAATTTATGACTTTAATTTATCCAATATGCATGGGATACAGTAATTGTTCAGTGTAAGCAGACCCATTTCACATTATTTGAAATTTAATAAGTGGTTAGTAAAACTATTTGCTTTGTAATATCATATATAAAGTCGTCTTCCTATTTCAGAGTTTTCTGGTTATCAACTTATCACTACATATATATACTCTTTACCTTTTAGTTAATAAATGTATTTAGCAGCCATGACAATAGTACAAAAAATGTATTCAAGTTATGTTAAAAGGAATATCTGGTGATCTTTATATTTTTTATGCTGATTACAAGGGAAATTGGTTTCAAAACTAACACTTAGCGCATTTCTAACATTAAGTGGATAACTTTATACAGGGTTACACACAAAAGGATGAGACCGTAAAGACGACAGAAAACTCTTAAATTATGTTTTGAATACTTATATTATGTATGTAGTACTTAATAAAATATATTCCAAACTATAGTGTTTTCCCTGTGGTGTATATATCACATCTTTCTTTGTTCAGACTAAGTTTTGTTGGATATATGAATGCCTTGATTTTGCCTAATTTCCGGGGTTGGATTACAAAGGTATAAACTTTAAAAGAAAACTGAATTTTTTTCAGATTCATTCCATTTTCGGACTCGCCTTTCAAAAATAAAAGCTATTTTAAAGTTTAAAAATATGTTTCAGTATCCAGAGAAAAAATCTCCTTCTGGAAACATTATAATGGTAAACTTTCATTTATTTTTATTATCAAAAGAACTTTTTGTAATTTTTCATTCTAAAAAAGATATTTGACTCCTACACTTGGATGCTAATTCTCATAAGGTAAATGGTTTGTAAAAAAATTAATTTAAAGAATCTAAAAATAATTGATGTTTTTTAATTTATAGCTTAATAGTAGCTAGCCTTGTTATGTTACTTATTTCATACGTGCTGAGAGCTATGGGCTTTAAAAAGGTTAGTTCTCCCATAAAGTAATCTTTGCTTTCAGAATATCATTTTTAATACATTTTTGAGATTCATGAGGACACTATGCAAAAAATTATAATTCTATCAATCTACTAATGCGTAATTTCGACCGGGAAGAAGTGGGCATTAGTTACTCAAGAATCTATGTAAGAAAGTCCCGGAAAATAAAGNATAATATGGGGGCTGCCAATAAAGTCTCAGGAAAAAAGTCCTGAAGAAAATAAATCCGAGGAAAAGAAAAACCTAGAAAAAAAGTCCTAAGTCTCGGGAAATTTGAACTCAGTAATTTAAGTCTGCGGGACTTTCTTCATATTCTCAATTTTTTCGAATCTCTTAAATCAAAATCTACACAAATGTTAAGACCCCCAAGAAGGAAACTTGGGAGTTTCGTTCAACGATACTCTTTTAAATTTCGAGCTCTGACAGTTAAATATAGCATATTTCTTATTTCAATGGAGAACCTTTCTATATTTTTTTTCATACTCCTTAAGTTTAGGTAACCGCCAAAAAAGTCCTTGGAAAAAAGTTTCCGGAAAAAAGTCCGAAAATTTCACACTAAAAAAGTCCTGTGGAAAAAAGTCCTTTTATTAAAAAGTCTCCGGGAAAAAGAAAACTCGGGAGTTTTGTCCAACGATACTCTTTTAAATTTCGGGCTCAGAGCCCAAAACTTAAGACTGGGTATCGTTATGAAAACCAGTTTTGAAACCCGGGTTTCACGAATGGGGTTTAGGCAGTTTTGTGGATATCAATATTTTTGTTACATGAAATATTGTTTTATTTAGTTTCTTCATATTCTCCATTTTTTTCGAATCTCTTTAATTAAAATCTACAAAAATACTAAGACCCCAAAAAAGTAACTCGGGAGTTTTGTTCAACGATACTCTTTTAAATTTCGGGCTCAGTGGTATATGTACAGAGATATTTTTAGACCATTTATAGACACCGTCCAACTCATATCACGAAACCTCGATTTCAAGAGGAAGTAGGGTTCAAACAGTACACATACTGCAGGGTTTGTTTTCAATTACTAAATACCAAGGATAATTGGTCTGTATACAGTTAATACAGTATAGTATATACTACGTAATTGCCGTGTCTCATGTTCATTGAACTATTTAGAGTCATAATTTTCTGGTTCTAACTCTATTTATATAGTTTGCTCGTCTGTTTGTTTGTCCGTTTGTATCCAATTAACGTCAAAACCTAGCTGAACCGACCAAGCCCAACATTTGTGAGGCAACTCACATGGCCCAAGGGAAAGTCTAAAACTAGTAAAAAATTTATGCGAAAAAAACGTCGAAATTTTTTTTTTATTTACCATTTTAAAGCCTAGTTTTTATAAACTCTTATTTATATGGTTCATTTAATCCCATCCTGATCAAATACGGAAGGGGATGAACTATAGTGAAATATTTGTGAATATATAATTGTAGAACTAAATGCGTATTTAATGTATGTCAACTAATAAGTTTTAACTTTTAATGTTTTAACATTGCTTTCTATGTCTAATATTGTGTTAAAATTTCCGGTTTACGAAATGGAAACTGGAAATTTTACGGTTTCCATTCCTTAAACCAGAAAATTTCCGGTTTACGTAACATAAACCGTAAACATTCCGGTTTCCATTTGATCCGGAATTATCCCGGAATTCCGGTTTACGCAACAAATTTCCGGATCTTCCATTTCCAAAATGGAAATTATTCCTGGAAAAATGGAAACCCTAACTGAACCTCTAACAATATTTTCTCTCTGGGTTTATCGGACAAATCACTTTAAAAATGGAGAATTTATTAAAATTACGTCCTATTATTAATGATTTTTATAGCTGGACAACGTGTTGGTTGTTCTGATGCCTTTCTCTTTACTAAATGCTGAAGCTATGCCAGATTGGTTTTTAGATTCTAATAAACGAGGTAATATCTTAGATACTTTCCCTTTGGATCTATCCCAAGTGGCAACTTCCCAAATGTGCAACTTACCAAGCCGCAACTTCCCAAGTCTGTCCTATAGCCAAGGCTCTCGGACCCCTCCCTCCTAGCCTGTTCTAGCTGCACTGCTCGTCCCCCCACTGCAGCCTGCGGCACCTCAGCAAGCCTAACCAAACCTTTGGAAAGTTGCCGCTTGGGATATTGCACATTTGGGAAGATGCCACTGGGAAAGTTGCCCTGAGGAAAATGCCTTTGGGAAAGTCCCAAAGGGCAGAGCCACAAAGTTATCAATAAAAAGAGCCAAGCACTCTTAAAAAAGTGAACTTTAATGTTTTCTTGACTTTAATATATTCTGTTTATTTTTTCTTATTATAGATTGGGGGGAGAGGGGTGGGGGGAGGAGTTTGAACTCTAAATTAAATGGTTAGGGTGCAAAGGAGGATTTGAAAAAAGTTTAAAATTATGTCGGAAAATGTTCAAAAATCATTATTTTTACTTTTGACAAATATTAACATGTGACACAGGTCAGTACACTCATTTTATCAAGGGCTTTCAAAATTTATAAATTTTAGCCCTGTAGCTTAATTAATAAAAAGTTATCAAGCATTTCTGATGTGCCACTGACTGTCCTCCTTCCTACCCTGTAATAAATACTGTGTAACACTTTATCTGTAAATTGTAAATAGCTATGTAAAACCCATATCATGATTTATCTAAACTGCACACTGCACAGTAAATAACTACGTAACATGATTAGCTTAATTACGTTTTATATATATCGACGTAAAACTTGTAAAAACGTCTATTAGTCAATTAACATTACCTTGTAACATAGAAACCCCAAAATATATTTAGTTGGAATAGACTTCGCTTTGATTACTGTGGGAGAAGTAATTGTTCCTCGTTTAGCGTACAAGTTTATGAGATCGTGCCCAGTGGTTTGGCATTGATAGAATATTTGTGATCATGCCTAGTGTTTGGCATTTATAGTCTCTGAGATCATGCCCAGTGGTTTGGCATTTATAGAACAGTTGAGATTGTGACCAGTGTTTGGCATTGATAGTCTCTGAGATCGTGCCCAGTGGTTTGGCATTGATAGAACAGTTGAGATCATGTCTAGTGTTTGGCATTGATAGAACAGTTGAGATCATGACCAATGTTTGGCATTGATAGAACAGTTGAGATTGTGCCCAGTGGTTTGGCATTGATAGAACAGTTGAGATTATGCCCAGTGGTTTGGCATTGGTAGTATAGTCAAGTTTACGAGATCATGTCCGCTTTGACATTGAAATCTCAAGATCATGCCCAATATTTGGCAGAGATATTGTTTACAAGATCGTGTCCATGTTTGACATTGGTAGTAAAGTGAGTTTGAGTTGAACCTGGATAGATATTGGTCTGAAAGACTTTTATGGATAGGGTATTTACTCCAACCCTATGTATAAAAAAATGGCAAAATTTGTTAATAACTATGTTTAAAAAGTGAAGAAGTTTAAGCGTTCTAATGTAAGCCGTTTTTAAGTTATTTAGAAGAACCACTGGGGTGGGAGAATGGGTGGAAAACTCCCCCCCCCCTCAACCGTGATAGGGTTTAATTGAAATCTCCATTTTTGTAGTTTATTCGGGAAGTATTTTTCTGCTAACTTGGGCTTTAGCATCAACAATCCTAACTTTTGGGTTTTCAAGTATACTCAGGTATATTTCAAGTATACTCAGGTATATTTCAAGTATAATCAGGTATATTTCAAGTATACACAGGTATATTTCAAGTATACTCAGGTATATTTCAAGTATACTCAGGTATATTTCAAATATAATCAGGTATATTTCAAGTGTACACAGGTATATTTCAATATTACTCAGGTATATTTCAAGTATACACAAGTATATTTCAAGTATACACAGGTCAATATATTTCAAGTATACTCAGGTAAATATATTTCAAGTATACACAGGTCAATATATTTCAAGTATACTCAGGTATATTTCAAGTATACACAGGTATATTTCAAGTATACTCAGGTATATTTCAAGTATACATAGGTATATTTCAAGTATGCTCAGGTCAACATATTTCAAGTATACTCAGGTATATCTCAAGTATACACAGGTCAATATATTTCAAGTATATTCAGGTCAATATATTTCAATATACTCAGGTCAATATATTTCAAGTACACTCAGGTCAATATATTTCAAGTATACTCAGGTCAATATATATCCTATATCTGTACTGATATATCCTGGATCTATATTGATATCCTAGATCTATAATGATAAACTATATCTATACTGACATCCCTAGATCTACACTGATATCCTTCCTCTATTCTGATATCCTAGATCCATACTGATATCCTAGATCTATAGTGATATCCGAGATCTATACTGATATCCTAGAGATATACTGATATCCTAGAGATGTACTGTTATCCTAGATCTATACTGATATATCCTAGATCTATACTGATATCCTAGATCTATACTGATAGCCTAGATCTATACTGATATCCTAGATCTATACTGATATCCGAGATCTATATTGATATCCTAGATCTATACTGATATTCTAGATCTATACTGATATCCTAGATCTACACTGATATCCGAGAACTATACTGATATCTTAGATCTACGCTGAAATCCTAGATCTATACTGATATCCTAGATCTATACTGACAGCTTGGATCTATACTGATTTCTTAGATCTATAATGACTGATATTCTAGAAATATACTGATATCCTAGATCTATACTGATATCCTAGATCTCTACTGATATCCTAGAGCTATACTGATATCCTAGATCTATACTGATATCCTAGATCTATAATGATATCTTAGATCTATACTGATATCCTAGATCTATACTGATATCCTAGATCTATACTGATATCCTAGAGCTATACTACTGGCCCCCTCCTGGGAACCATATATGGATACAAGTGTTCAAATTGCAGAAAGAAAAATGGTATTTTTTTCTTATTTCGAACATTAATTAACTTAAATCTAATTAACTGCATACAACGTGATTTAGACCCTTCTTTGGCACTTTAACTGTTATGTAAAATATGACTCAAGGTTGACATCTCATAACCCAGCTGTCCCCAAAATTATTAACACGGCTGTTTTCTGCGAGACAAAGGTATTTATCATTCATTATTTAGTTTTAGTCAATATTAAGATACAAGGAAAGTTATTTCAGAGGTGTACGCATCTCTTGTACTGCAGTGTACTGTCACTGGGCGGTAATGTAAACACAAGATGGATGTCGAAGCCTGACATGGGATCCATCTTTCACATAAAAAATCAATATTCTGTTCATAGGAACCTATTATGCGAATTATCAAAATTTAATGCTTTTATCCTCCTCGGATAATCATACTAAGCGAACACTGATGCATTTATTCTTGTTTACAAATACCTTCCAGAGAGAACAGGTTTCAATATGTAGGCAGAGTATACGCAACTTTCCTTGCATTATCACCTTGGTAATCGTTATAAAAAGGTATTGTTTGCGCAATTTCAAGTGACCTTCAATTTGCAGTTTGAGGAGTGGCTTTCTTATTAATCTACAGAAAAGCTTGAATATTGATAAAAATTTGATTTGAAAGCTTTGCAAGTATTTAAAAAATTTTAATATGTGTGATAGCCTGCACCAGAGACGGTAGAATAGTAGAAGATGACGTCATTGGCTGCAGTATTGGTTTTAAATTCAAACAATCAAGGCATGGTCAAGGGCTTTTCAAAAATGTATAATTTTTCATTTTTTGGACAAAATTATTTTGCAAACATTTTTACTATATAACTGGATTTTGCGATAAAAAATTCAATTTTTGCAAATTTGCAAATTTTTTTCAGATTTTAAAAGTAGAGCACAAGAGCTTTCTAATGATGTATCATTTGTCATACTTGGACATAAAACATGGGATTTAGAGGGGGCTTCGAAATCTTTCTTGCGTTAACATTACCGGCCAGAGACAGTACACTGCAGTACAAAAGATGCGTACACCTTTGAAATAACTTTCCTTGCATTATAACCTTGAATTCGGCAATCTTTTCATCAAGTGTCACTTGAGATTACACATATAGTCCCTGTAATGAATTGTGTTTACAAATATTTAGGAACAAGTATTGAACGCAATTGCTGAACATGGAATTGAAAACATAGTATTTGACGAAGGCCAGGTAGTAAAGTCATACCCTCAAAGGACAAGACTTCATGAGACGAATTTAAATAGTTTTATTTCTTACATCTTTTGTTGTAAACTTGCTTATTCAGAAGTTAAAGACTTAAAATGTTTGTATAATTACCCTGTACATAAAGAAAACATATTGATTAAATTGAGAGAAAATTAAGCAACTCCGAGATCTCGCTTCATACTCTAGTTTTTTAATCTCTATATCTTTGTCGGGCTGAAGGAGTAAACCTTTTACATTTTAAACTTTGAATATTTGATCCAGCAGAATTCATAGTTTGAAATTTTGAAGGTTTTGTATTGAATATACATATCCTATGCTTAGTCGGATTTAAGACACACATTTTGTCCTCAGGTTGCGAAAATATAAGGAAATCAAATCTAAAGTTGAATATTTCAGGAGTACAACATGAATATTTCAGGAGTACATATTGATATTTCAGGAGCACAACATGAATATTATGGAGATGTTCCCCGAAGTAAAGTTCTATGTATCTAAGGTTAGTTTTTTGTTAATTAGTTCACAATATTTTATTCTATTCAGTAAATCAGGGTTATAATCTACTGTGTGTCTCACTTCCAGGGACAATTCATAATGACTTAAAGGGAGTGAACGGCAATGTATGGTGGTTGAACTAAGAATACAAAATAAAAATAAAAAAGAATAACAAATTTCTCCACAATACTACGTTCTCAGTTCAACTAACCTACCATGCTGGTCACTCCCTTTAACCTTTGATAGTTATCTAATGACATTTTATTGAGGGGATATCCCAATGTGATCTTGCCAGGCTACATTTGTTGTATAAAAAATCGAATCTACACTGGGTAGTCCAGACTGAACAGTATCGGCTCAGATCATGCTACTATTAGAGAGGGGTGATACACATATTTTGAAAAGCTTAAATAATTTTATTACATTTTCTCATTGGAATGGCTATTAAAAAGAACAAATCTTTAAGACGTCTCTCACTTAGTACGTTTATTGGGACAACATTTATGTTTTTTTTTTATAAAAAAGAACAGTATGACGAAAAGGGCTAACTGTTTTTTTTATAAAAAGGAACAGTATGACGAAAAGGACTGACTGTGTTTTTTATAAAAAGGAACAGTATGACAAAAAGGGCTAACTGCTTTTTTATGAAAAGGAACAGTTTGACAAAAAGGGCTAACTGTTTTTTTTATGAAAAGGAACAGTATGACAAAAAGGGCTAACTGTTTTTTTTATGAAAAGGAACAGTATGACAAAAAGGGCTAACTGCTTTTTTATGAAAAGGAACAGTATGACAAAGAGGGCTAACAGATTTTTTATGAAAAGGAACAGTTTGACAAAGAGGGCTAACTGCTTTTTTATGAAAAGGAACAGTTTGACAAAGAGGGCTAACTGTTTTTTTAATTATGTAAAGCATTTGTTGTATTTTATCACTAAAAAATGTTGATTAAGCATTAAATATTCCGACTGCTAAGCATTATAAATATATTTTGTTCCTTCAGTTGAGTCAAATAGATTCTAGTACAATAGATGGCAACGTAGAATTTGTACACTCTCAGTACAGCTGTATTCTTATGTCACAAGTGTCAATTCAGTTTTTGTGTCCGACAAAATTATAAATAATAGTAATAATTTTAGAATAAAGTGCTTATCTTACAGTAAAATAAGTGCAATTATATGAGTTCTTTAGTTTCTGTTTTTACACTTTTTTATTTAATCTTGGAAAACATGTCAACTAATGTGAGAAAATTTCGTTTTCCTTGTTATATTTGGCACTTGTGACGTCGTGTATAATTGGTTCATTTCTCTGTTGCCACATATTGTACTTGATAATCTATTTTGAGTTGATTGAGTTGAGTCACAATTGAAACCTGACTTTACTAGAAATAAACCCAATGTAAACGGATAGTGTTTATTTTGACGGGGAACTAATTTCTAAAATTTTCCAGGAAAAACTGGACAAGGATCAAACGTTTTGGATTATACAGAAGAACTCTATTTGGTTTGAACTGATGAATAATCATGTTCTGAGGTGTAATCAGGTTAAAACTTTTTAATTGGCGAACCCTGCTTTGCTTGGAAATTAAGTTCAAAATTTAAATAAAATTGGTCAAGGGGGGGTATATTCTGATATTCTGATTCTGATATATCCCGATATTCTGGTCAAGCCGGCTTTATTTCTGTGTTGAAAAAGAGGAATATCAGTGCAAAAGCGCTTTTAGGAAGCACATTAAAAAGTGACTCTAGTAATGAGGAGACATTTTTTTATCCGGATGCCCCACGAAGTTCCAAATTGCGCTGTGAGAAGTTCATTAATTTTTTAGACCGGAACGACTTTGAATCGTCGCGTCCCATTCGGTTTTACATTGTTAAATTACTGTTGTAGCCCTAAACATGTTTATTTTAAAACTACAATTTGCTTATTTATAGCTTTTGTTTCAAAGAAGTAATCGGCAAACTGTTGATCAATTTGGAGTCTGGGAAATAATCATCATTATTGGAGTATTATTGGAGACGCCGTTTCATTGAAGACCACCATGGACACCTTGTTGGAGACCCCCATGGACGCCTTGTTGGAGACCCCCATGGACACCTTGTTGGAGACCCCCCTATTTTCATAGGAGACCCCATGTTTTCGTTGGAGACCCCAGATTTCTATTGGAGATCCCTAGATTTTCATTGCAGACACCCAGATTATCACTGGAGACCCCCAGGACACACATTAATGATACATGTTGAGGACACACATTGATAATTCACATCAAGGACATATATTGAGGATACACATTGATGATACACTTTGAGGACACACATTGATTATACACTTTGAGGACACACATTGATTATACACTTTGAGGACACACATTGATGATACACTTTGAGGACACACATTGAAGGTACACTTTGAGGAACACAATGATGATACACATTGAGGAAACACATTGATGATACACATTGAGGACACGCATTGATGATACACTTTGAGGAAACACATTGATGATGCACTTTGAGGACACACATTGAAAATACACTTTGAGGACACACATTGATGATACACTTTGAGGACACACATTGATAATACACATTTAGGACACACATTGATAATACACATTTAGGACACAACATTATAGACCATCGAGGCCCTTTTGTGAGTCCGGAACCAAAACTGGATTTTTATCTGTTATTTTATATTTTGATAATCTTTTCACTTACAAACATTGTAATAATTGTAGCTTGCATTAATTTAAAATGATTTCAATTCATAATTACTTTTCCCGTTCATATATTTATCCATGAATGGATCCTGTAATCCCGAAATATCAGGCCTGTATTTAAAAGCTCATATGTATACATGGGTGTACATATAGCTTTCAGAGAAGCAACAACTAGGCGCTTCTAAAAGTATTAAAAGATACAGGGTGAGAGAGAGAAAATAGCATACTAGAGAAACTTTAGCCAGGGGTGTATATGGGGGGCATACACCCTTGCACACAACAGAAGAAGAAAAAAAACGGAACTACAAGTAACATTAAAAGCCTGCATTAATTTTGTAAGACTGTATTAACCTGGAGAATGGAGGTTTTTTACCTGCTGTATCCAGATTTCCTACTGACAGCTTTAATTATATTCTCCTTAATAACAAGCATAGTTAGCTGTTATTAAGTATCCGAACCCGCCGTAAAGACATTAATTCTTTCGATTGAATCTGGTTCTATGTATAAGCTTCAAGGGAGCTTCAGCACAGTCAGGTTCATATACAACTTTCTCCAGTTTCTTGCGACTGAACAGAACCCTGTGGGGAATAAAACATGGCAGCACACCCTACTTGAAAAAAAAATAATAGCGCAGAGAAGGAGGGGTTTCTCTGTGCTTCTCTTCCCCTTCCTTCTTGCCAGAAACAAGGAAAATAGACACATAAAAAGTAGAATCCTGATAGGTTGTGCACCATGCACTATGATACCAGTTTATACTCTGCAGGCTGTAGATTGCTGTAGATAAGGCCGTATTCTGAAGTACTGACCGAGATGAACTTAAAAGAATCAAGAATTATTTGTCAAAAATATCCACTCCTTGCTTAACCTTTCTTATCCTGTTTGTCATTATAATTGTGGAATTCTGACAATATGTATCCTCAGAATTTTAAAACCCAGCTTAGCAGTGACTTTTATTTTTCCAACCTGTAAGAAAATATATAATAAATATGAACAATAGTTGGATGAAAAAGCTGCATTATCAATTCACAACATAACCTGTCAGAGAAATATGACACCTCCGCATGGAACACAAAAAGCAATATGCGTAATATTATGGAGAAAGAAAAGCAGAAATATGTGTCAAAATGCTTTTTTTCCTTGTCTACAAGAGATTAGAATACGTAAATCTAAAAGAGAGTAACAGAAAACAGATGAATGATCAGCTAAAAATAAGATACAACAGTCAGAAAAAAAATTCAACGAAATCAGGATTTCAAGATATTCTAACGTAACAATTATTAAAAGATTTCGAGGCAACGCAAGTGCGTTCAAGAATTTTTATCGTCTCTGATTAGTGTTTAAAATACTATTTTTTAAGAGTTTCAGTCAGATTTAGGACATCAACTCAACATTACTAAGACTTATGAAAAACTTCTCTTAAAAAGGCTGAGGTGACCGAGCCTTATTTGACATAAATAAAAGGTTTATAGTGTTAACTCAATATTGCTCCCCCCCTGATACTGGGGAGAGGGGGGGGGGGAACTCAAACAAATCGGGCGGTTTGTAACAAAAACCATTATTATTAATTATATTTGTAATTTTTATGAAAATTAACATTTAGGCTGGGTTTGAAACTATTGCTTTGAGAATATTGGATAGTGTTCATAAATCAGAAGGGAGTTATGATCTGGTAATAATAATAATAATAATTGTAATAATTATAATCATTATAATAATAATAATAATAATAATAATAATAATAGTAATAATAATAGTTTTTAAGAAAAGGATTGAAAGAAACTGCAGTCAGGGCTGCTTTTTTAATACAACATAATTTCTTCAATATTAGTGTTGATACGAAATGAACTTAACATTACAGTAATGAATAACAGTAATAATTTGACAAAAAAATTATTATTCATTATTTGTAAAAGATAATTTAGATTGCATACATCAAAATAATTAACAATTAGTTTAAGTCGAATATTTCTTTCAAGAATTCTTGCCGATTGAGATGGCTGCGGATCAGTGTAGGTCTTGTCTTTGAGCTCTTTGAAAAGTTAACCAATGTGTCTTCTCATCTAAGATCTAAAAAGGACTTCCCAGTAGTTTGTATTCCAAGCTGGTCAGCTTTAAAACTTCTAAACCCAGGGGTGTACGAGAGCATTTGTGTAGGGCGCGCCAAAAAAATATTGTGCCCCTCCTTGGCAACATTGGGCCCACCCCTTAAAAACCCCTTTTTTGAAAAAAATATTGATCCTTTTTTAACTATGTAAACTTAAATTTATTTAATTTTCTTGTTTCCAGGGGGGGGGCACAAAACCAGACAATCCCCCTTAATACTGTGCTGTAAGCTTCAAGGGATGAAAAATATAGATGGAAACGTTTCTAAAAAGTCAAATTTTGTTGTAAGCTAATTTAGAACTTTTTGATCATCCATAAACCCTCCCTGTGGTCATGTGAGGTCACACACAAAATTTGGGCACTATCGGTGCAGACAAGCAATTTTTGCTATTTTTACTATTTTCATGTTTAAATACATGAATGGAAAACTTACATTATCTTTTAATGGAAGGTTAATAATTTACTTAAATGGAATACATGCGTAATTTCAAGTGACCCTCCATTTATAGAGTGGCATGTACGATGTACCTTTGAAACCTTAATTTCTCTATCGTTTCTGAAGCAAGAAATGCGCGAGTCACTTTTGTATAGAAACCACAAATAAAAATATTCAGTTTTCAAAATGGGAAACATGGATTTTTAATGCAATACTTGATCAGACAAAGCTTTAAAGGGTATTGTTGTGAATCAGAATATATTTCAATTCTTTTCTTAATCTTTTAGTTTTGGTGAGTCCCCCCTAAGAGGGGGCACGCATATGGGGGGGCGGGGGGCTCGCCCCCCCTCGTACACTACTGTCTAAACCCCCTCGTACGCAACTGTAAACCATCGTTCAGTTTGGTTGTTTGTGGTGGGTTCATTATTCAAAATTTCATCTAAGACATTCCAAACTTTTAAAGGAAGCCTCAGGGGTTTTCTGAAGCTTTCGGTTCCCTTTCCAATGTAAGTATTCTCTAAATAATTCTGGCAGTACTCGAAAAAATCTCCGTCCTGGAGAAAATTTTTTCCGCATTGTCCAAAAACACAACAGCCTATATTTCTTCATGACAATTATTGAAAAACTGGATATGTGTAAAATTTTTATTTACATCAACCACTGTACACTGTACATGTGTTTAATGTATACAGTACATATCCAATTTAAATTGATTTTTTGTGGATTTTTTAAAATATGCAAGTTTCGGCAAACCCTATCCCAATATAAAATATGTTAGTTTCAGCAAGTTACCAGAACTGTAAAATCAAGCATTTGCCGCCAAGACAAGAAGGTGCAACGTCCGGCTATCCTGAGAACACTGGATCGCCATATATATTTAATATTTATGTATCACAATCACATCAATTCAAGTAAATAGCAAAAATCTGCCAATGCAAAAAAGAAAATCTGTCTGAACTGTTATTGCTTATATTTCCAAATGTCCGAGAGTCTGAAACAAGATCAGCTACCAAAAAGTTTATTATTACAAAAAACTATTAAAATAAAATATACCACAGTAAGTAAAAAGTAAGTAGTAGAAAGTAAATTGATTGAAATCTGAGATAAGACTTTAAAAGCTTGCACCCGACTAAAACCCGGTCTTTGCGTCTGCTTAGACCCAAGTAAAGCTCAAGTGAAGACCCGGGTTTTGGATGGCCTTGAGTTTAGGAAGAACCAAACATCTTGGGTTTTTCTCTCTTTAAGGCTCGAGTCTTCAGCAGCTGATGATTGTAAACTTCGTAAAATCTTTTATATTTGTTACATTTAAAATCTCGGGAATATTTGTGGTGTCACATTTTATTAATTATAGAAAATAAACATACTATGAAAATAATGCAACTACATAAAGTTTGAATTATCGAAATTTACATCTCCTTGTCACAGCTGATCTGACGGCGTTCTGTCTGCTACAGAGAGAAAGCTTGCTAAACAGTCTCTTATTGGTTGAATCAGAACCAATCCTGTCTTGGGTTCTATCTAAGCCCGAGTTTGGGTTTTACTCGGGTTTAAGCTTTTAAAATATCATCTGTGATATGTATTTTAATTACAGCTTCTCTGTTGAGGTAAACAAAACTGTTTTGAATTTCGTGTTTAAGTTTTAACCAGATAAATTTGTGAAGGAAAAGCTGAGTTTAGAGCACGTGGCAGTTGCATTCTATATCCTCGGTCTTGGGCTTGGATCTTCTATTCTAGGAACAATGAACTAAGTTAAAGGATCAAACTATGATTTTCTAAGAAAAAAGTGAAGTTTTTTATGAGTATTTTAGTCGGGGATAGTTGAATAATTTAACGGTGAAAAAATATGATGTGTTGCATCTGATAATGTAAACATTATCATTTGCATGGAACCGAAAAAAGTAACAAATTTCCTGCTTGCAATTTAAGTTGATATCTTCACAAACATTTGGTCACAAAATTTCCAACTAGCTCAGAACTTTTTTATTGTAAGAATTTGGAATGAAAACAAATTTAGTGATTTAAAAAAATGTGCTATTTATCCACAAAGCTCACAAAGTTGTATTTATCTAATATTAGAAACTAGGCTTTTATCATCCTCTATTTAAATTGTGAACATGTTTTTTTGTTTACATTTTAAAACAAAGAAGAACATTTTTTTGCGGATTCAAAAAAAAAAATTCGTGAATTTTAAGAATTTAAATTTTATTACAAAATTAAAAACTTTAAAAACACATTTTTTAAAAATTTTTATCATTCATAAACCTTCCCTGTGGTCACGTGATGTCCCACAAAAAATTTGGGCCCGATCGGTTCAGCCGTTTTTACGTTTATTGGATACAAACATACAAACAAACAAACAGACAGACAAGCCAAATTTTTATATAGATGGATATTTTAAACGATGGTAAAATTTTGAAAAAAGTACAGCTAAATAAGCCATACATCGAAAGTATTCATCAAATGTCGTATTCATCACTTTCTGATAATGGAATGTTGCAGATGTTTAGTTTTTTAATTAATTGAATATATGGAGCTCTTTAAACCTATTTATTTATTTTCGCAAATACTGAGATTTACGTAAAATAGTATAAAACCCATTGAAAACTGTCAAGACGACATTTGATAAATTCTTTCGATGAATGGCTCATTTTGGGTTTAACTGTAGGTAATCATATTTATGACAAAATAACTATACTCGTTACTAAACCCTAATTACTTCACATGAGACCTTTAACATCTTTGAATTTTGAAAATAATCCCTTTTTCTTAAACTTACTGATTCATTGTTTATATTTTACAGTTTTTCCATTGGAGTTGCTCTTTCATAAGAAGGCTAGAATTATATAAAAGTTGTTTAAATATTATATAATTTATATTATATAAATAAATCTAACAACAATACTTACTTTTTAACGATAGTGGAATTTAAAGCAAGCCAGACAGACAAAGATACATTTTTAAATTTAAAGGACTAATAGCGTCTGTGAACCTAATTCCAAAACAATGATGACGAATAGATTAAAATTAAGAAGAAAATCATGGTAACAGAATTTTTAATATTACCCTAAAAAGGTAAAATGGTCAAAATGTAGAAATTACAAAATTGAATATTACATAATTTTAACTTCTTCAGAATTTCGACAGTCACAAAAATGTTACATTATGTGGGGTTAGGGTTGGTTAAGACTATTTCTGGACCGAGCGCTACGGTTAGGATGGCTAGGGGGCCGAGCACTGCGGTTAGGATGGCTAGGGGGCCGAGCCCTGCGGTTAGGATGGCTAGGGGGCCGAGCGTTGCGGCCTTTGAATTGTTTAATGTTGATTTGAGCTGATTATTTCACGCTTCTTATTCAGCAATTATCTTTAAATTTTGTAACTGTAATATAGCCTGCTCTAGCCGCAGCTCTCCGCCAAGAAATTTTTGTATCCTAACCTAAAATAAAAGAAGGTTAGAGACAGAACATTATTCAACATTTAAGAGACCGCAGCGCTCGGCCCCGTAGCCGCAACGCTCAGGCCAGAAATTGTCTTAACTTAACCTTACCCAACATAATGCAACATTAAAATTGTTAAAGTCTACCTTTTGTAATTCTACCTTATAAAATTCTACCTATTGTCATTCTACCTTATAAAATTCTACCTTTTGTCATTCTACCTTTTGATCGTTCTACCTGTTGTAATTCAACTTTTTGTCATTCTACCTTTTGAATGTTTTACCTTGAAGATTATACCTTTTGATCGTTCTACCTTGTGAAATTCTACATTTTGTCATTCTACCTTTTGATCGTTCAACCTTATGTGATTCTACCTTTTGTCATTCTACCTTTTGATCGTTCTACCTTATGTGATTCTACCTTTTGTCATTCTGCCTTTTGTATGCTCTACCTTATGATCGTTCTACCTTTTGTAATTCTACCTTTTGTAATTCTGTTTTTTTTTGTTCTACCTTTTGTATGTTCTACCTTATGATCGTTCTACCTTTTGCAATTCTACCTTTTGTGATCCTACCTTTTGTAATTCTACCTTTTGTAATTCTACCTTTTGTAATTCTACCTTTTGTAATTCTACCTTTTGTAATTCTACCTTTTGTAATTCTACCTTTTGTAATTCTACCTTTTGTAATTCTACCTTTAGTGATTTTACCTTTTGTACTTGAACCCTTTAAAATGTGCTTTTTCTTACAATATTTGAAACAAGTTTTCATACAATAATAACAAAAACCTGGATTAGGAAGACGACTTTTAGACTCTATTTTTTCTGCAACCGAGGATCAAGTATTGATTTCTGCATCTTCTGCGACCTAGGATCAAGGATTGATCTCTGCATCTTCTGCGACCGAGGATCAAGGATTGATCTCTGCATCTTCTGCGACCGAGGATCAAGGATTGATCTCTGCATCTTCTGCAACCGAGGATCAAGGATTGATCTCTGCATCTTCTGCAACCGAGGATCAAGTATTGATCTCTGCATCTTCTGCGACCGAGGATCAAGGATTGATCTCTGCATCTTCTGCGACCGAGGATCAAGGATTGATCTCTGCATCTTCTGCGACCGAGGATCAAGTATTGATCTCTGCATCTTCTGCGACCTAGGATCAAGGATTGATTTCTTCATCTTCTGCGACCGAGGATCAAGGATTGATTTCTGCATCTTCTGCAACCGAGGATCAAGTATTGATCTCTGCATCTTCTGCAACCGAGGATCAAGTATTGATCTCTGCATCTTCTGCAACCTAGGACACGATTAATTTGACAATTCGATCTTTATATAGTGGTCATAACCTGCTACTTTTGATTGAGGAATTAAGCATTGATACTTACATTGAAAAGTGCACGCTTCGGATATTGAGATCAAGTGATGAAGAGATTAAGGATAGTGACCTATGTTTATAACATAAAAAAGCTTCAATTCTTCCCTTTTTCGTCTACAATCAATATATATTGTACAGTAAGAAAAGACTAGACAATGTTTATCAAATTCATCCAATTTTCGGACCCTAGATACAATTCCTCATTTCATTATCTTCCTTTCTTTTTCTGACTCCNTATACCCTCTGCCCATATATATGTATAGAATGGTAATATAACATTCATTAAATACAGGAATACAAACAAACAGATTTAATTATTTGAGGCAAATCTCTCAATAATTTGATTAATATATAATGTCGTGTAAAAGAATATTCCTGTTTCTTATTATTATTACAACAAAGTGCAGTTACATGACTTACTACACACGGTTGACTAAGGTCAATTTGAATTCGAACCTGGACAATCTCATGTACCGCCTTAACGATGCGACTTTTTACAGTACCCGTCCTATTATAGGCCTATTTGAACACTAGCTTAGCTTAATGTGACTATTTATCAGGGTTGATCAAATTCAAGGCAATTTTCACAGTTGACAAAACGTAAGTCAAGTATTGACCAAATTGATAAAAAAACAATTAGTTCTTAATATGGTCAGGGTTTCCACGAAATGACCATATTTTTAGCGCAAAATTTTCGCGCTTTTGCGCATTTTTTTGCGTAATTTGCCGGAAGTTTGCCGCAAAAGATATATTTTTACGCAAAACAGGATATTTTTAAACAAATTGACCAAATTCAGCACAGAATCAATTACAACTGATCTGTGGCCGAATTTAAAGAATTTGAGCGGCGGTTTAAATTTAAGCCGAGGTTTAAATATGGTTGGTTCCAGTTAAAATTGTATCAAATGTTTCAAGGTTTAAACCGGCGCTTAATTCAAACCGGGTTTTGGCGGATTTAAACCGCGGCTCAAATTCTTTAAATTCCATCTCAGGTTTATTAAAAAATTTACATAAAACCATTGAATTGGTTACTTTTACTTACAAAACTTTAAATTGAGGGACACAAATCCATAAAATGGAAATAAAAAAATAAATATTAATAATTGATGCGTTTTTTTAAAATGTCTGAACCTTTGTGTGGTGGTAACCTTTGATATTTTGAATGTAGACTACTCAAGAATTAATATGATTGAAATATCAAAGTCTATGCCCACTGAGGTATAAACAACCCAGAGTCATCAAATTTCTATACAGCCTCAATTTTGAATTGTCGCAATGCCGTGGCTTTTTGTTTTACCTGACGATTTTTGTGTGAGAGCCTGAACATCTTGATTTACAGTGCGCCATCATGCATCAGATTTCAAAGATTTAGGCAAGTAATGAGTTCCCTTTAAAACATTAAAATTAAATTGAAATTTTATAGATAACTAATTTATACAATTTATACCTTTAATCAACAGCTTTTAATGAGAATTTGCTCCGCAAATTTGCGCAAAACAGAATAACGCGAAAGCGGAAAAGCGCAATATTGCGAGAAATGAAGTTTGCTAATGATTGAGCAAAGTGCAGTTTTTTTTTTCGCGCAAAAATTTAACGAAACGAAAGCAACATTTGCGCTTTCTTTCGTAAAAATTGCGTTGAGAATGGAAACCCTAAATACATGGTTAAAAGTTAATATTACACATAAAAATATTCTTAAAGTAATAATTATTGTTTAGGAAAAAATTCAACATAAAATCAACATTTGTTCTTTGGTTAGTTTTGCATGTAAAGTTATCTACAGTGATAACCAGAAAACAATGGAATAGAAAGACGACATTATATCAATACTTAAGCGTTCTGATGTTGTTACAAAGCAAATATTTTACTTTTTAACTTAGCAAAGCACAATTTAAGTGAAAAGGGTCTATTTACATTGTACAATTGCGATGTCTAATCTTCATTGAACTAGTTTAAGTCCTAACTTGAGTTTAGAAGTCGTCTTCCTATTTCAGAGTTTTCTGGTTATCACTGTATATATATATATATATATATATATATATATATATATATATATTTCAAAATTCTTTTGTGTACTCTAGAATTTGCTGACAGTTGTTTTTCTTTTCATTCCATTTCCCGCATTCGAGGGTTTTAAATCTTCATTGTTAAATAGACTGTACAGTGTTCGTGTATTTTCAAGTGACCCTACATGGAAAAATGGCAATGCCCAATTCACTTTTCTGCCATTGCGTTGTCTATTTTAGTATGAACAAGAGATCATTGTTTTTAATGTGGAAAAGTGATTACTTTCAATTGTGGTTTAACTACAAAAATACCTTGTGCAATGTGCATTCAGAGTTCAAAATTTTTAAACCTAGAAAAACGACAATGTCTTCCACATTCTTGATCAAGATTTCAAGAGTACCGTTTTCGCTTTTATTCAATATAAAGAGGTATGGAACCTTTTCTGAAGCATTTCTCATGAAATGTTAGAACATCTTGTTAGGAACATTTTACAAATTTTTATTTGGACATCAACACAGTTAAGAGAATTATCTCTCATATTTTATAAGACATGTACCAATTCAAACTAAGGAAAATGTCGCGTAACATTGAATTGTTGCATGTTTTCTATCATAATTTATCTTATAGAAAACCTCATACTTCACACTGAACTGAACTAGTGGGGTAGGAAAAAGAGGCCTATGATAGGCCAGATCAAGGTTATAATGCAAGGAAAATTATTCTAGAGGTATACGCATCTTTTGTACTGCAGTGTACTGTCTCTGGCCTGTAATGTAAACACAAGACGGATGTCACAGCCTGACATGGGATCCATCTTTCACATAGAAAATCAATGAAATATTCTGGTCATAGGAAACTATTATGTGAATTATCAAAATTTTCAAGATTCAATGGTTTTATCCTCCTCGGATATTATACAAACACTGATGCATCTATTCTTGTTTACAAATTCCGCCCAGAGAGAACTGAATTCAATATGTACTCAGAGTATACGCAACTGCAATTAACTTTCCTTGCATTATAACCTTGGGCCAGGTACAGTAAGCAGTCTGGCTGCGCCATCAAAGTTGAATCTAAATTGACC